ACGTATGGCTGTTAAGATGCAATAGCTCAGTAAATTGTGATGATAATTAAAAACAGTGATTTACATGTAGCTATAGCTCACTTCCATAGTCCCAGCTACTTGGGAGGCTGAGGTAGAAGGCTTGTTTGAGTCCGTGTCTAGCCTGGGCAACATAGCAAAACTCTGTTTGCAAGAAAAAAACCAAAGAAACAGTGATTTTACTAAAACAATATAGTTTTCCACATTTAAAACATTCCTTTCTTTTATTACATCAAAATGCATTTAGAGTTGAAGTTTCAGTCATATTTTTCTATACATAAAAAAGCAGAAACAGGGCAGCACCTGTGGCTCAAAGGAGTAGGGCGCTGGCCCCATATACCAGAGGTGGTGGGTTCAAACCCGGCCCTGGCCAAAAACTGCAAAAAAAAAAGGCAGAAACATGTTCATCTATCTTTGCAGTATTCATTAATATATACAGATTACTTTGGCCATGGCCATGGCCATGACAGAAGCCCTAAAATCATTCTATCGCCTAGAGTGGTACTTTCCTGAAGCTGGGGAAAGGATCCTGGGCAGGATACAAAGGAGGGGGCCTATCTCAAGCCAGCCTGGTACCTCAGGAAAACTGCGTCTGGGCAACATAGAAGCATTTAGTAAATCAAGGCCTAAAGGAGGAGGAATTATCTCCTGGGAAAGAGCTGCACAAACTGGAACAGCACAGATTTCTCAGGGTGGGAGTTGAGATCAGAGTGTCTCCTGGTCCTTGATGAAACAATTCATTCTGTTTCAAGGACAAGCACGTGGGAAAATGACAGTCTTCTGGAATAGTGTCATTCTGGTATTAAATTAAATACCAGAATGAAACAACCCTGTTTTAATTAGCAAATTGAGCCTCAGTCAGAAATAGGCCTGCTTCAATTATATTCCTTGTTAAGTGCTGGAGAACTCATTAGACAACAACTCTATTATAACAATAATAGTAGTGATAATAAGAGGATTTATTGAGAGTTTACTTCAGGCCTGGCACTTAATATTCATTATATTATTCAGAAGAATTTTACTTGGCATTAATTTTATTTCAGTTCTACCCTGTCAATTGTGGTTTTACCAAGGATTCTGCCCTAGAATATGTAGAGACCTGACTAAATGTAAGAAAATTCTTTTGTAAGTAACTAAGTCCAAACTATTTTATTTTCTATTATTTCCACAGCATTGTCTTCTTTATTTTTTTTAAAGATGGTTCAGAACCAGTATTGCCCCAATGTTCATTTCCTGTTTTTGAACATTATACTATGGTTATGTATTACATGATAAAATAAGTGGATAATTACAAAGGGGGTTTCAAATAAAATATGTGGAATAATAAATGGAGTAAGGGATATGAAGTTAACAATTTGTACTACTTTTGCAATTTTCTGTAAGTCTAAAACGAGTTAAAAAACAAAGTTGAATAATAGATTATAATTTCTTGACTATAATTCTATCTTATTTTCTTATGGCAAAAAAATACATGTTCAATGGAGAGAACATTTTACATACAGATAAGTAAAAAGATGAAAATGGTTGGCTGGGCGTGGTGGCTCACGCTTGTAATTTTAGCACCCTGGGAGGCCTAGGTGGGTGGATTGCCCTGAGCTCAGAGGTTCGAGACCAGCATGAGCCAGAGTGAGACCCCGTCTCTACCAAAAATTGCTGGGCGTTCTGGAAGGCGCCTGTAATCCCAGCTACTTGGGAGGCTGAGGCTAGAGAATTACTTAAACCCAAGGACCCAGGGGTTGGTAGAGGTTGCTATGAGCTATGATTCCACAGTCCACAGTATTCTACTGAGGGTCACATAGTGAGACTCTGTCTCCATAAAAAAAAAAAAAAGAAAATGAAAGCAAAATAAAAAAAAGATTTAAAAAAAAGATGAAAATGAAAATCTAATTTAACAAACTATTGGTACTTGCTATAAATATTTATAAATTCATCAAAATGCTCATTAAAAAGCTCATGGTTACATGTAGCATGTATAAATTTCAATAAAGGACTTCATCTACAAAGGTACATTTATATATTTCTTTTTTGAATCTAAGATTTTATTTTTTATAAGATATTTAATAATATTGTTGAGTTAATTGAATATACATTTTGAGGAAGTTGGTCAATTAATGCATTTTGCTTACATAAATTACTTAGATCATATTGTTATTTAAATTATTTACTTATCTTTTTAAATTATTTTTTATTAAATCATAATTATATATTTCTTTATTGAACTTAATTTGTCTTAAACCTTCATTCTACCTAATGGGAGATAACTTAATTGAGTCAATTCTAAGTAGTTCAGCCATTTTTGAGATTTACAGTGATTTAAATTCAGGTTTCAAATTTAGTTTTCTTTTAACCCTCTGGGAGGGTTAGATTTGGATTCCATTCATCTTCTGCAGGTATGCACGGCTGATATAACTCATCCCACCACATCAATGGGCATGAGCCTCCTGCCTCTGCTTGTTAGAACCATGATGTGATGAAGGCCTTCAGCCTTTATCTTCTTTTGCAATTCTGCTTACTCATCAGTCCAAGCACACAGCCACCCCATTCATTTTCCAGCTAGAAATGTTCATTTTTCAGAAACATTATCTAGTGTGATAGTTCTGAATTTGTAACATTTTAATCAGCCTAGTACAAACTGCACTTGATATTTTAAAATAAAAAGAATAGAGAATGATTAAGCGAAAGAATGTTCCAGTTCAACTGCTGGCTGGTTCTGGGATGTAAAAATCTGTCAATATGGAGAAAGGTGTTGACTTTAGCATATTCTACTTCATTCAAGTCACATTCTTTAACCATCAGACAGTTATTATTCATACGTATATGCTAAGTCTAGAAAGAGCCACTTTCTCACATTTGGAATTTTCTCTTTCATTCTAATAAGCATGCCTTGATTACTTTTACACACAAAACTTTATCAAAATATGCATTTTCTGGCATATTTCCCAAGAACTTAATTAGAATCTGGCACACCAAAAATTGAACTGCATTCATTGCCATTTGCCGCATAAATACTTCAAGAAGAAAGTTAAATAGCTTAAAAAAATTGAAATGCCGTTGTTTTCATCTTCAACTTCCTGTTTGGTTAAGTGAAATAATAAATTGCTTCAAAATCCTATTGCTCATTGTGTGGTTCATACTTACAAAGCACAGTTTATGGATAATGGACAAAGCCTCTTGAAAAACTGACCACTTGTCATACTCTGCAGATCAGAGTAAAATAGACCATTCTATGGACAGCAAATGTCATTACTCATCATGTTTACAAATATATTTCCTCTCTGACCTAATGATTCCTTCTGACAGTTGCACTGAATTATTGTTTCAGGGGCAGCAGCCGCTTCTGGACCCCAAGGCACTGGCACTGCACTGCCACCCAGCCCTGGCCTGCAACGGGTCACCTGGAGCCCAGTCTCTCAACAGCAAGGCTTTCAACAGCTGGTGGCAGCGGAAAACCTTTGGGGCACCTGCAGATTGCCGAGGAAAATCGGTTTCTTGGACTAGGTGCCCGTAGGTCAGTGGGTATGGCGCCGGCCACATCCACTGAGGCGGGAGGGTTCGAGCCCCGCCGGGCCTGCTAAACAACAATGACAAAAAAATAGCCGGGCGTCTGTAGGCCCAGCTATTTGGGAGGCTGAGGCAAGAGAATCGCTTAAGCCCAGGAGTTTGAGGTTGCTGTGAGCTGTGATGCCGCAGCACTCTACTGACATAGTGATACTCTGTCTCAAAAAAGCAAAGCAAAGCAAAGCAAAGCAAAGCAAAGCAAAGCAAAGCGGCTTCCTTCCGGCTGGGCGCGGCTGCCACGTGCCCACGGGGAAGCCGGTCCGGCCAACCATTCGCCAACAGTTGTCGGTGCTGTTATCGCATGTTACACCGTTCCCGTTCTAAGAGATGAACAATTTTCTTAAAAACCACAAAAGGCGGCGCCTGTGGCTCAAAGGGGTAGGCCCCATATGCCGGAGGTGGCGGGTTCAAACTCAGCCCCGGCCCCAAACTGCCAAACACACACACGCAAACCCACAAAAGGAGGTGGGAGGGGGGCTCTCTAAATTCCCTTCAAGCTTTTCCAGACTCAGTGTGTTTCACAGATACGATGAGGCTTAAAATGAAAACTATGAGGCGCGTTAAGTCGCCGGGGTCCACGACGGGAAATGAAGGAAAAGGTACCTTTTCTGGCAGCTTCAAGTCTGCTAAACGGCCGAGCGCAGTCAGTGGAAAACCCTGTTACGAGTCACATCAGTGGGGGAGAAAATGGGAAGCAGGATGAGGGAGGGCCTCAGAACGGGGTTGCGTCTTAGGACCGGGGAAATACTAGGAAAGCTGTTTCTCTTTGAAGCCTGGACCTGTGCGGCCCGTGTCGTGACAAAAGGGCTCCGATTATGGTTCGATACTGTCCAGATTGGGCCCTCCCGGCAGACACCACCACGGCACCACACTATCGGGCAGTTCGGGACACGATAATTAGCCTTGGGTTACTCTAGGTCACTTTGCAAATCCTAGCGAGTCCGGGCGACGCAGTCGGCTGGCCCTGGGGGGTAGGGGGGGTTCCCTGCCTCCTTTTGCAGATTAGCAAGGGCTTCCTCTTTCCCCCTGGTTACTACGGGCAGGATTAAGATGGTGCAGCACAAAGACCGCAGTTCTAGTTCTTTTTCTCAGGTGGGGCATTTGCTTGAGGCAGCACCTTGGCAGAGCGCCCACCTTTGTCCATTTTTTTCCTCCTGCGAGCCAGAATCCTAACTATCTACCTCACAGAAGCCAACAGAAAAGCCAGCAACGCCGGCACCGCAATGCACTCTCGGGCCGCGTGGCTTTCCCGCGCGCTAGCCTTGGGGGCGGAGAAGAACCCGGATGGAACCGCCCTTGCGGCCGGGACCCCCCCCCCACCGTCTTTGAATGGCAGCGCGGGGCGGAGTTGCCCTCCCTTTTGTGATCTGATTGGTTTGTGTCCGCCTTCTCCTCCTCGCGATTGGACATTCCTAGTGCCAGTCACAGAGCGTCGCTGGGCTCAGATTGTTGCTAGAAGGAGTCCGCGTAGACGTCTGGCTAGACGCCGCGACTTACCTTTGAGTGGTGCACGGTAGATCCCGCGCTCGGAACCTGTCCGGGGCTTCTGGGCTGCGGGGCCTGGAAGGAGGCCTATTGAAGCGGTTCGAGAACGGTCTGGGGGACGTTTAAGCGTTCTCCTTGTCATCCTACTCAACGCCATGTCCTGGATGTTCAAGAGGTGAAGGGGGCGAAGGGGCGAAGGGGGTGGGGCGATGGGGCTAACAGCCGGGAGGCGTCCCCGAATGAACCTGACCTTCCCCGCTTTCGCTCTGCGTTCTCCGTGCGGTTTTTTAAGTTTGTATTCGCTCTGCTGGTGGCTCCGGAAAAATAAATGCATTGTCCTAGTTGGTGAGTAAAGCCTCTAAAGGCGGTTCTCGTGCCAGGGCCTTGGGGAATCTGTCACGGACTGTGGGGCCTGGAGTTAAAGCTTTCGGCCCGTACTTCGGCAAAACATCCATTAGATACCTACTGTGCGCTGGGCATTGTGCTCCGAATTGAGGGCCGAGTAAGACTGCGGCTGTTCCCAAGTAGCTCGCTGTTTATGTACATACGGAAGAGCTAAAAGATAAGCGCGACTTGCTAGAAAAACGCGGGGGAAATAGCGACTTTCTGTTATTACGAGAATGGAAACTTCCTGGAATCCCCCAACAGACTTCTCACTTATCCTTGTCCAAACTAGTTTTCACGTCCATTCCTGAAACAGTTATTTTAAACAAACGGGGGGGGGGGGTAAGGGAGGTGTGAGGCCAGATCCCACAGGATGGTTTGGATATCAGAATAAAATAAGTGTTGTTTTTGAGGGAATTAAAGTAAGAAATGCTGGATGTGTGATTGGAAAAGATAGAAACATCTTCATGTATGATAATAGTTGTATTTTTTTTAAGTCTTTTCTAGCTCCTACTGAAATTCTCGCACGGAATTGTAGTTATAGACATCACATACATTTAAATTTATATAAATTATTTTCACCAGGAAAGAGATTTGTTGAATATTGGGTTTTTTATTTTGAATACGTGTGGGAGTGGAAGAGCTTGTATGGGATAGATAGAGGCTTCCAGAAGCCGTCCGCGCTCAACCAAATCTTGCTTTAAAACCAAAGTAACTATTAACGTCATTACAGTGATTCCTATGTACGATTTAATTTGCTAAAATAAAGTATAAGAGAACTACTGACCTATAAATACTGATATTGTCTTGCTTGGTTAAATATCGTATTGTTTTTCTGTGCACTTTTTTTTTTTTTTTGTAAAACAGGGATCCTGTTTGGAAGTACTTGCACACTGTTCAGTATGGAGCACCAGGAACTTTTCCACGTCTCTCATATCCAACTTTTTTCCCACGTTTTGAATTCCAAGATATTATTCCGCCAGATGACTTCCTAACTAGTGATGAAGAGCTGGATTCAGTTTTATTTGGAACTTTAAGAGGTCACGTGGTTGGACTACGCTACTACGCAGGAGTGGTGAGTCTATCAGTAGATAGATGCTAAGTTAAGCCCTATTCATGATGTTAACCTAGAAAATAAGAATTAGAAGGTAATGTGCAGTTAATATTTATTTTAAAGTAATTAAAATATATGTGGACAAGAGATAACGAATACCTGAACTACTTTAACTAATGTTCATTTATCTCATACTTATATTATACAAAGCATTTTTGCTTGCACTGTCATTTGATACCTATGATAACTTTGAGGTCGATAAGCTAGCTATTCTCCTTCTGTAACTGAGAAACTCAAGGTCTGAAAGATGAAAAGATTTGCCCAAAATGCACAGATACTCTACGGTAAATTTGAGAAAAGATTTCCAAGTCTGTTGCTTTCCTCACTTCTACTCCTCAGCACATTTTTCACTTAAATATTTTTAATTTAGGAAGATCCTACCAGGTAAGGGAATTATCTATTTAGGTCTTTTTTTTCCCTAATAGGACTGCACCTTTTCTTGTCATTCTCTACCTTTTTGTTATCTGCATTTTGTGTGTGTGTGGGGGGGCGGGGTGCAAAAGAGGAAAGGGCAGAATAATCAAGAATATATATAACTTCTTCTTTGGTAGTAGTTGTCTTTGTCATGGTCATCCAATGTGCCTCTGCATTGTTTAGATACCACACCTCTAATTTATTATGAAAAATTTCAAACATGCATTAGAATAGTACAATAAACTTCTGTGTACTCATGATCCAGGTTCAACAGTTAACATAATATTTTCCCTTTTTCTTTTGGACTGACTAAAGTAAATCCCGAATTCATTATTTTACATTCCTTTGATAACAGTATGTATCTATAAGAACATACAGACATTGCATGTTTTTTTCATACTTAACAAAATTAATAATTCCTAATTGCATGTAATAACTAATCATTGATTGGATTTTCTTGATTATTTTCAAAACCTGTCTTTATAGTTGGTTTTTGGAATCAGGATCAGAATAATGTTCTGTCCCTTCTCCCTTAACTGCTTATTTCATGTTTTTGGTTTGTTGCATAAACCAGGTCTGTTTTTTTTTTGAATATTCTGGATTTCTTAATTTTTCCCGTACCCCATACGTTTCTTAACGTCGAATCATGTCAAATCATTTTTTTCATCATCTGAAGCATATTCACCAGGAGATTCCTTGAGAAAGGGTTCCATGTTCTGGATTTGTCTAGTCCTCTTCCATATTTTCTTTACCGTAGAGCTTCTCAGGTAGTTTTGTGATTGTCTGAAATGTGTTGTCTAACAGATTCCTTAGGAAGAAACAGTTTCCTAAGTTTCTGCATGTTCATAATTGTGGCATTTTATCCTTGAAGGGCAGTTTAGTTGAATATAAAACTTTGATCCTATACTTTCTCTCCATAGCCTAGTGTTGCATAACCTGGTGGTAGAATTCTCATGCCAATATGATTTTCTCTCCAATAAGTTAATTGATATATATATATTTTTTTTGCCTAAGATAAAGGTATGTCTTTAGTGATAAACATTTTATAATTTTTTTTCTAATTTGGAAAAGTTTTCTGTACTTATAGTTTTGCTTTGTTCTAAAACTTGTTTTCCTTCATCAGCTACATTTATCTCCCTCTATATTAGATTTCCACTACCTATATGTCTGCTGCTTCCTTTGAAATACTTGCTATCACATTTTTTCACTTTATTTTTTGTTTACCATATTTTTCACAGGGTCTGGTAACTCAAGTGTTCTTTGTATTTTAGTCTTTAATTTTGAAATAGTTTTTCTTTTTTAATGTATTTTTTTCTTTCTTTATTGTTATTATTATTATTACTGTTTTTTGAGACAGAATCTCACTATGTTGCCCTCGGAAGAGTGCTGTGGTGTCACAGCTCACAGCAACTTCAAACTTTTGGGCTTAAGAGATTCTCTTGGGAGGCTTCTGTGGCTCAGTGAGTAAGGCGCTGGCCCCATATACCGAGGGTGGCGGGTTCAAACCCAGCCCCG